GGGGTGGGGTGGGGGGTTTACCGGGGTGCGTGTTTGACATGTCATAAGACATACGACTTTACATTGTATGTGCAAATTTGAACAGGTCTTGTGAAAGGAATAGATCCATGAATGTGWCTCCTGTCAAAGAGCCAGATAAACCAGATTCCTTCCTGTCATGCTCTGCCTCCAGCTCATTTTCTCCACTGTACCTGCACAGGTGTACAGGTGTTGTGTGTCTCTGTGTGTGAAGCCGGRCTTCTGCTGACATCATCATCAGCAAACTCCTCCTTTGAGCATCATCTCCCTGAGGGTATAAAGCATCTCCTGTTCCCTGGCAGCATACAACACCCAACCACAGCAGCGTCAYTCCAGCAGATGCTCCGACAKCAAAGAGGAAAAGTCCCTTCTGTGWTCCGAGAACCTTCTWTTTAAAACCTCAAGATTGGAATTTTCTCACCAAACTAAAGGTCAACATGTCGATGGGTTTGGAGATCCTGGGCATTGTCTTTGGATTTATTGGATTTATCTGTGCARTAATAACATGTGCTCTGCCGATGTGGAAGGTGACGGCCTTCATCGGGGCCAACATCATCACCGCTCAGGTCATCTGGGAGGGTCTGTGGATGAACTGTATCACCCAGAGCACAGGGCAGATGCAGTGCAAGATTTATGACTCCATGCTGGCTCTACCTCAGGACCTGCAGGCTGCCAGAGCCATGACAGTCATTTCCATCATCCTGGGCATTCTGGGAGTCCTGATCTCCATCGTCGGAGCAAAGTGCACCAACTGCATCGAGGACGAAGCAGCCAAGGCCAAAGTGATGATCATCTCTGGGATCTTCTTCATCCTCGCCGGCGTTTTGGTTCTCATCCCTGTCTGCTGGTCGGCTCACACCATCATTCAGGATTTCTACAATCCAATCCTGATCGACGCTCAGAGGAGGGAGATAGGAGCATCGCTCTACATCGGCTGGGGAGCAGCTGCTCTGTTCCTGATTGGAGGGGCCATGCTGTGCAGCCGCTGCCCACCAAATGAGGAGAAGTACAAACCACCTCGTATGGCCTACTCCGCCCCACACACTGTGAGCACAGGTGGGCACAATAAAAGAGACTATGTTTAAACAGACACATGGGGAAATTCATACATAAAAYAGATCAATTGTTTGTTGAAAATGCATTTGTCTGGATTTTGTGTTGCTGTCTGAAACCACAGAGTGAACCTTTGGAAAGACTCCAAGATGAAGGTTTTGCACAGATACTGATCTTTCTGATTTGTTTTTGTCTTGATTTTTAGAAAATGACTCCATTTCTGTAAAGTAAGATAATTAAATATAGAAATATAATATTGAAGTCACTTAGCTATCACCTGTTGTTTGCTTGGCTGGAGGGTCAAGGTCAAATTTATATAAGCAACACAACTAAAGTGCTGTGTACACATTGCAGTAAAATTAAAAAAGGAAAATCGAAGTTACACATACATGTGGGTATAACGTTTGAATAAAAGCATGAAACCAAACAAGAAATGAGAACCTCCGTCAGAACTCAGGGGATTTAGGCAACTCAAATCTTTGTGAAACATAAGTGAAAGGAACAGCTGCAATCTAAGATAAAGATTTTATCCCTGACATCTATACATACAAACTAGAAAAAAAACCAGAAAATTTTAAATATTCAGCATATTTTGTATAATTGTGTGAACTCAGAATTCACACTTATGTTTTCCTGTTTATATTGTTTTTAAAGTCAATCTTCTTCTGTACTTAGTGCTATTTTTATCATTCACATATGAAAATATCCRGCTCAATCAGTAATGGTGTGTTTTGAGTTTTGGATTTTGTAACTTTTATGCTTTTTAAAATATTAAACTTTATTTTAAATATCCTAACTAAAATGAATTGTGATCTGTTTATTTAGAAATTTTGTTTTCTTTGAAATCTGCTTTAGTATATTTTCTCTGTTTTTGTCTTCTTATTCTACTTTCTGTTACCGTTCAGCTACTTTAAGTAACTGTTTTGCTACCTTTAACTATTTTTGCTAGCTATTTTTACCAATTTTTTGCTACTCATTTAACTACAGTTTTGTTAAACTGTTAGGTTTTTTTAGCATTATCTGTTCTGCTACTTTTAGCTGCTTTACGTGAATTGTRGCATCTTTTCTTATTTTAATGACTGTTATGCTCCTTTAAACTCCTATTGTTGTGTTGGTTTGGTTGTTAGCTTTTTTCCAGCTGCTTATGGTAATTTTAGCCTCCTTTATTTATATTTTAGCTTTTCTTCAGCATGTTTAACTTTAAAAACTCAGTTTTAGATTTTCAGTACATATTAGTAAAGTCATTCAGGATTCTSACTACATTTTTGCATAAAAGTTACATACAGTCTTTTTTAATTTCTGACAGTAACRCTTTTAAAGATTAATAGTTGCTGAAAAACATCTAAAACGTCTTCTAAGGATCAGTAAAGTCTTATCTTAAAGTCACCTTCATACTTTATTTGTGTTCACAATAGAAAGACATATTTGATTTGATTGATTTGATTTCATTTATTTATTTAACAGGAAAAGATAACTAAAAATCAAGCCTGACTCAGCATTTTTGCTGTTTTACAG